CAGTCAATTCTCAGAAAATATATCGCATATGCACGACAATACGTTAAACCAAAATTGACTAAAGAGGCAGCTATAATATTACAGAATTATTATTTAAAATTACGAAATAAAAATAATAAATTTAGCGGTTTATCTATCTGCAACAGACAATTAGAAGCTATGATACGATTAACAGAGGTTTAATTATTTTAATTACTGTTTGTTTCAATCTTTATATAGATTTTAAATTAAAAAAAATTGTTGTTGTTAAATAGGCTAGAGCAAAATTGGAATTACGAACAGAGGCAACAGAAGTAGATGCTTTGGATGTAATAGAAATTTTACAACATACATTTGATGATAAATTTATAAATTATCAATCTTTAGGTACAAAAAATGTAACTACTGGAAAAGTAAGTAAATAAAAGATTTATCATGTTTAATAAAAGATATATACGATATATACGATATATATATATTAATATGTAATTTTTATTTCAAGATTAAACAGTTTATAGAAATATTAAAAAAAGAAACCAATTCTAATAAAAGTCAAATATTTTCTATGAAAAAATTGCAAGAGATTGCGATAGATAAAAATTTTGTAATAGATGATTTTTCTGAATTTCTTATGAAATTAAACGAAAACGGAATCTTATTAAAAATGGGAAGTAATACATTCAAATTTATTTCTTCTTAATCTAATATATATATATATAAGATATAAAAGACAATTTTAACACGAAACAAAAATTATTATTATACATGTTTGTTGAATGAATTTTAAATTATTAATATTATAATAATATTTCTTTTGACTTTGTAATATAAAATAAAAAAATTTAATATTATCACATATAAGATTTTAAACTTCAAAACAATCAGCTTTACATGGAAGACGCCAATACATGTATAGACAACATTTTGGTGGTGGTACATGAAAACAACCGGGTCTGCAGCAAGGCCGTTTAGGAACATATATCTTTGGTGGTGGAACGTGTGGAGGAGGAATAATAACCTTGCAAAATCTGTTTAATAAAATCTCTTTATAACATATATTTTAGATAATATTAAAAATATTAGTTTTTATGTTGCTTATTTAATTCGTATAAAAGTTTATGTATTTCACTGTACATTTTACCTAATTGCATATGATTTCATGTATGTATATTATTTGTAGATTCATTAAATAAAACTACGAAACATGTTATTGAAATTCAAATTATAATGTGGTATAAAATTGTTGTTTCAAATTCGTGCCGAACGGACAAAAATGATATATGTATATATGCATATATAAATATATTCTTCTAATGAAACAATTCATTTAATCATTGACAAAGGCAGCGTGCTGTAGCTCTTGTTAGGCATCTTGCAGCGCATGCAGGTGGACAATATGGAATACATTTCGGTGGACAAGGTCCGCACGGCACTGGTGGCGTACATATGGTAATTTTACATGGTGGAGGGCATGCAACACAAATTGGTGGAACACATGGATAAGATACACACGATGGGCAAGATGGTAACTGGTACTGAGCCACAGGTGATGGGAAACAAGGTGAACATGATAAAGTATTTCCTCCGCAAGACATTGCACGTTCTTTCTCTTTTTTTTATTAAATTTTTCTTACTTAATTATTACTTTTATAATTATTTTTGTACACCGGAAATTTTGATAACAGAATATCAAACAATTGAAGTTTATCCAAAATTATCATTCACTTATTATATACTAGATATATTCAGATGATATTGTCGTTTTTTTTAGAATAAAATCATTTCAGTGCAATGTTCCAAATAATAAATTAATTGGGTAAAAAATATGCAAAAAATATAATGAATATGTAAAAAAAATCGTATTCTATCATTTTTATAAGACTGGGATAAAATCAAAATTTGTTGTATTTCGTTGTTTGAATATAAACATTGTTAAAAATGCCATGCGATGGAAAAAATCCAAATTGCGATAGAAGACGAGAATTATTAGCTCAATTGAAATGTTTAATTAGTTCTATGGAAAGAAAGTAAGAGAATCTTATAATTACAGTCACGAGTAAACTTATAAATCATTTATTACAGAAAAGCATGTGAATGGGATGAACCACCATGTCCACCTCCTGTTATGTGTTCACCTTGTGCAGCACCTTGTGTAAGTATAAATTGGTTTAAATATACCGTGAGCTAAAATTTGAGATATAAACTTGAGATCAGGAAGATAATATGATTTAAAATAAGACAAAAATAAAAAATCAAAATTACATTAGACAATTTTTTTTTCGAAAAAATTACAATTAAAAATTTGTTAAATATAAAGCTTATAATTATTTATATTTTAAGTCATTTCAAAATATTTTAATAAATAAAATTACGGAAATTTTCATCTTGGTATCGTTGAACATTTTTCGCAACAATAGAGCTTTTAAATCAATTAATGAATAGCATTTTAAATTTATAATGAATCCGATAGTAGGTATATTCTTTCAAATTATATTAAAAAGTCTATAAGATTGCATGATCAATTTGAATAACGTTCTTTGTTAATTTAATCGTAATTTTCACTCAGTTTATAAAATTCCATCATCAATTGAATAGTGTTCTTTGTTAATTTAATCGCATTTTATATTCAGTCTATAACATTTCATCATCAGTAGAATAGTGTTCTTTGTCAATTTAATTGCAATTTATACTCAGTTTTCATTCAAACGATCTTTATATTTATTGTGCAAATAAAAAAAACATTGAAAGCGAATAATAGAAAAAAAAAAAAACATTCATCAGTTGATTCCATATATGTAATTTAAATAATTGGAATATTATAATTAGTATAATTTTTATCTGAAAAAACTCGATACAAACTAAATAATATATGAATTTGATATTTCGATAATTAAGTAATGTGCAATTTTTTTATATATAACTCAAACTTTTATATATAATTCAAATTATTAAAAAATTCGACTATTCAATGTTATAATATTTTTATTATAATATTATAATATTATGCAAAATATAAGAAATTTATTATATAAAAAAATTAATAATTTTAAAAATAATTTGTAAAATTATGAAAAAAAAAATTAATTTTTATTGTAATAATTATAAGAAATTAAATTTTATACATTAAATTTCAGATTCCAGTTAAACAATGTAAAAGCTATGATTTTCGAACAAGTATTATATATAGATGTGAATGTATCAAAAGGAATGGGCTACAAGATAGATGTATGATGTGGGAGTGCATGGGTAGACCAGAATGTATGACGAAATTGTATCCCGTTTGTATGCCAGGCCGTTGCGCGTTATTGAAATTAACTGAATTAGGAGATATGGAAGTTGCTTTAAAGAAATTTTATTGTGCTGATCAAGCAAGGGAAGCTGCTCTTGCCGCATATTGTAGATTGGTATGTAATACAAGCGCGGAAAAACCTTGTTGCATGGTGACCCCGATATCCTCAAGCAAATCTTGTAAACCTATATGCGTTGAATTACCATGTTCACCATGTCCACCAAGTTCACCATGTCCACCATGTCCACCGTGTCCACCATGTCCACCATGCCCACCAGGCCCACCGTGCCAACCATGTCCACCGTGCCTACCGTGCCCACCGTGCTCACCGTGCTCACCGTGTCCACCATGTCCACCATGTTCACCATGTCCACCATGCTTACCATGTCCACCATGCCCACCATGTCCATCATGTCCACCATGTCCACCATGCCCACCATGTTCATCATGCCCACCATGTCCACCATGCTCACCGTGTCCACCATGCCCACCATGTCCACCTTGTTCACCTTGTATTACTTCTTGTGTACCTCCTTGTGCTACTTTCAAAATTTGTGTTCCATGTCCACCACCATGTCCACCCTCATGCACGCCACCATGCGTAATACCATGTATACCACCGTGTCCACCACCATGTCCACCACCATGTCCACCGCCATGTTTACCACCGTGTTTACCATGTTTACCGCCATGTCCACCATCATGTCCACCATCATGTCCACCACCGTGTCCACCACCATGTCCACCACCATGTCCACCATGTCCACCACCGTGTTTACCACCATGTGCATCAGCGTGTCCACCACCGTGTCCACCACCATGTCCACCTCCATGTCCACCAAAATGTCCACCACCGTGTTCGCCATGTTTACCATGTTTACCATGTTTGCCATGTCCACCATGTTCTCCATGTTCACCATGCCCACCATGTTTGCCATGTCCACCATGTTTACCATGTCCACCATGTCCACCATGCCAACCGTGTTCACCATGTGCACCACCATGTCTTACGCTATGTCCATCACCATGTTTATCAGTGTGCCCGTCACCATGTTAAACAAAATGTTTCAGTATATATCCATCAATATGTTTTTTTCTATATGTACCAATTTTTTCATAACAGAATTTATTTACCAGTTATTATATTGGTTATTGATTAGATTCTTTAGTCTGTGCATTTTTCATTTTGTTACAAATTTATTTTATTATATATGTTTCATATCTTCTGTCAACAATGTTATTTGTTAAATTGAAGATGTTTTTATAATGTTATGCCACGAAACAAATAAAAAATAAAAATTTTATATAAAAATATATTTCAAAATATTTATATATATATCTTCTATTATTTATATATGCATATGTTATGTATATTATATACGTATATTTCATGTGTATATATATTTATTAATTTTTACTTGAGTTTAAGATTATTAAAATTAAATTAAAAAAATAAAAATGAAAATTTAATTTTAATAATTATATATTAATTAACATTTAAAAAAATATACATGGAATAAGATATAATATATAAAATATTATTTCCTCTGAAGTTTTCTCTAGAAATAAAAGCAAATTTTTTTTTCATTAATTATATAAATTGGATATAATATATTTTTATAGCTGCGCTCTTTGAGGACTAAAAAAAGTCACTTTATTTTAAATAGAATAATAGACAATAAATAAATTGTTTTACCATTTTTATTATATTTTAATTAAAAAATATGATCAAAAATAATAATTGTATTTTTCAAATGTTCTACTATAAATTATTTAAAATTAAATTTTATTTTTCTAAATCGATATTTGTTTGTGTGTAACATGTATTGAATATATATTTGGCTGTCTGAGATCTCGCATTATTTAAACGGTGGATACTGTTCTGGATGTCGAGATTGCAAATATTTTGCTGGTGGACACTTAGGCCATGGCTTGACCAAACAATCAGATTCCTGTTGACATTGACTTAATGGACAAGAATCTTGAAGACCATCTCTATGTACACAATGACATCTTGTAAATAAAATACCATTTCGCATTTCAGGAAATTTTAAGCCATTTGTAGGCTAAAATAAAAATTAATTTCCAACATATAATTACATGTATATTTATATGTTATTATATTATTATATTATTTTATATAATTTATATAAAATATATGAAAACTATATATATATAATAAAATAAAATAAAATATCATCTTTAAAAAAAAATGCTATTTTTAAATTTCACACAGATTGATTACAATTTACCTTCGAAATTTGTTTACTTTTTATGTTATAAGTATTTGATACTTTTGTTGTGTGATGTATTTTTTCTTCAAATGGGATCATGAGAAATGCTGATATAAGTGGCGACTTTTCTTGATCGCATTTCTGCTGTTCTGATATCGTACTTTTAGGACGAAAACTATTAAATATATAAAAATTAATTTCATTTTTGATAAAGAAATGATTTTATTTATTTAGCAGTAATATTTATTTATGTATAATTATATAATATATAAATATATAATTATTTATATATATATATAATTTCATTTTTAATAAAATTATTAAAAAAAAAAAAAAAAAAGGGCGTTAGATGATTAGTGTAAAAGTCTAAAAAAAGTAATTCAATGAAAACAAAATAATTTTTCTATAAATAAAAAATTTTTATAGAAATCTGTTTAGATATTTAATTAATTAATTTCTTTCAAATGATATATAAAAAAAAATTATATATAAATATTAGAAATATAAGAAGAAAAATGAAAGCAAAAAAAATAAAAAAATTAACAAAAAAAGAACGAGTAGACAATTAAAATAAATGATGTAAAAAAATGATTAAAATAATTAAAATAGCAATAATAAAATAATATGTTTTACAAGAGAAGAAGTGTTAAGTTATAAGTTAAGACTTATAAAAATAAGAGAAGGAAAGATACTCGTCATATTGTTATTAAATTTTTTGCTTAAACCATTATTATTTATAAATTTATTTATAATTTTCTTTATTATAAAAAATTAATCCTTTTCTTAAATATATTTAATATAAAAAATATGTAAATTTGTACAAATATGATAATAATGATTATATAATATAAAATATATAAAATTATTTTAATATTTAAATATATATTTTATTATACATGTAAATATTCTAACATATATATATATATATATATATGCATATAAACTAACCATATTGACGGTGTTGCTTTTACTTTACAAATTGTTGTAGTTTGCATTATGTTTCAATTTTAAAATATTTAATAAAAATATAGCACAAATGATGGAACTGTTAATTTGTCATATTGTAAAAATTTTTTTAATTATAAACTAAAATTTTGGAATTTGGAAGAAAAAATGGATTGATAAATTTCACAATAAATTTTTTAACGATCGCATTTTGTTGCGATTTACATAAATATATGTTAACATTCTTGAAATAAGCAATACTAATCAATTTTTTACAAATTTCAAAGTTGACTTAAAACAAATGTAATTTTTTTTGCGAATTTGTAAAATAAAAAATATAAATTATAATATATTATAGAGTATTCATATTTTTTCAAATAATATTTTGTATATCATCAATTACAGAATTATTATCTGTATTATAATGTATGTATATAAAGTACAAATTTAAAAAATACATAAAATTAATGAATTTAAACAATATAAATTTATTAATTATCACAATAATAAATAATCAAAATAATGATTATCATAGTTACATTGTGATTAATGTAAATTAATAGTATATATTAATTTTTCGATGTGCATATTATATTATGTACATTATTATGTATATAAAAAATGTGTAGATAAAAAAATAATCAAATTTACATTTTAAAATTAAATCATTATTTTAAAATTATTCAAAAATTGTTTAATAATTTAATATTTAATATATATATATTATATATATGTATATTATATGTATATTATATACATATATATACACAAATTTACATAAAGAAATAAAAACACAAAAATTAATATTGTATATTTTTTATTTGTATATACATTATTATTAGTTTTGAACATAAATATCTGCTATTAATTACATCGAGGCGTAGGACATGGTACATTGCATTATCTACATCGATACCATTTATCTGTCTATTGGAAAAAGAAAATATTTTAGTTTAAAAATGAACAATACTATTAAAAATAGTTTTAAAATATATTCTCTCGAGAATAACATTTCAATATTTAATTAAATATAATTAATAACTATAATTAAATATTCTTAAAAATTTTTACATACACCCTGTAATACATAACTTCGGCCTGGAATAGGATAAAGCAAATCTGTTCCAATCTCATTTAAATTTGAAGTTAATAATATAGTAGCAGTAGAACTATACGTAATAAGAGGTCGTCTCATAGGAAAAGTCATCCAAATTGGTTTACACTCTTCAGGACTAGGTTTCGTACCCCATGCTTCTGGATCATATAAATAATTATATTTTACACACATCATTGGTTTTGTAGTTCTCCTGAAAATTTCAATAATGTCATAGAAAATATTTTTAAAATAAATACTAAATTTTATAATTTATATTTAATTACATTATAAAATTAAATTATAAATAAATTTAAATTTTATATTTTTATATTGTTATCTAACATTAATATGAATTTAGATTATTATTATAATAGATTATTATTTATAATCTATTTTTAAGATGTAATGTAATATAAGATTAAAACTAGATAATATAAAATATAATTAATATAAGAATAAAATTACTTCTTACATAGAATCCATTTTGTTAAATAGACATCTCAAACGTTTAAGTTCTTGACCGGAATTTGAAATTCTGTTAGAAAATCCCCAATTTCCCATTGTTTCTCCTGCAGTACTCTTAAATTTTGAAAATTTACAAAGATTATAATCGTTCTGCATCTTGACTATTATTAATAATATATAATTGAAATTAATGAAATTAATATAATAAATCATAAACTTGAAAAATTTTTTATATAAATTATATAAAAATATTTTTTATCAAAATATTACATTATCATTATATATCTTTCATTTTATTTAAAAAATATTATAGCTGCAAACTTCATGTAATAATAAAATTTTGATTTCATACTATATCACAAATGTATCTAATTTCCAAATTTTAAAACACTTATAGGTACTATTTTAAAAGAAATATTATGTATTTATTTAAGAATAAATATTGTTACAGATATTTTTAAGATATAATAACATATGATATATATATTTAAATAGTTTGTATTGTTTGTTGGATATACTGGATATTTTAAAAATATCTATAGCAAATATCTGAAATTCATAATATAGATATTACGGAATTATTAAGGATTATTAAAACATTAAAAATTTCGATTTCAACGAATTAAATTGAAATAAATAAATAATAAATATTTTTTATAATTATTTATTTTTAAATGTGTAATATATAAACATTATATATATATATACATATATATATATATATATATGTATATATATATATATGTATATATATATTAAAGGTATTATTGACAACATTTTTCATTTATAAATGACATCTAAAAAAGATAAGGGTACTTTCAAATTCACATCAACATTTTTCATTCTTTTTATATATATTGTAATTCAAAAAAAACAAATCTTTCAGACAATGAGATCAAACTTTAAATTAAATGTTAAACAAAAAATATAAGGAACTATACAGTAAGTTATAGGAATTTCTTATATGAAACTAAATTAAGTTTTATATATAAAATTAGACTCTCTCCCCATCTTGATTTGAAAATAATTTTTTATTGTTCAAAATATTATTTACTGTAAAAATATATATTTTTAATTTGTTATGTTTAAAAAAATATATATCACAATTGTATCTTATAAAATGTTATGAAATCTAATAAACAACATTCTCACACATCAAATACTGTATAATAATTTTATGATATCTGTCATTAACTAATAATATTTATTTATAGCTAATAATATAAATTTCGTAACAATAAATGTGGAAATATGAAAGTGATTTTCAAACACTAACAAATTTCTTTTTGTAAACAATACAAATTTTAAAATATTTAATTTTTTACTGTTTTTAAAATTATTCTTTAATAATACTGTTCGTTCCTTTTTTGCAAATAATACCCTTAGTTTAAAACACAATGTTTTTTTCTTAAATTCATAATTGATTTTTGAAATTAACTTTGTGTTCAAGTAACATATTATTTTCAGGTGGCAATGCAAGACATGCTCTTAAAATGTTTTCAATTGCAGCTCGTTGTCTGAATAATGCATTTACAACTGGTGTTCCTCGTGGTACTAATGGTGCTTTGCAGAGATATGAAAGTATGGACAGTACACTATGAAATCCAGTAAACTCATCTTTTGTATCTGCTATTTTGAAAGTAATTCGTGAACAAATCTCTGCTAGCAAAACCAAATCCAAAATAATTGGACTTGCCAATAAAGAATCTTCACATGTATTATGTACTACAATCGTATTATGTCCTCCCAGTAATATTTCTGATGTATATTCATCCATCGCCCGTTTGCTATCACCTAATAAGAAATGAAATAATAATACTCTATGTTCTATAATATTTGATATATATATACTTTTTCACATACCAACATATGGAACATATTTAATAACAACACAATGATCTGGTTTTTCTCCAGATTGATAAAGAATTTTATTTGATTGTACCATATCATCCACAACATTGCTTTTTGAAATCTGAAAATATAATTAGAAATATTACAAATATATATCATGTTAAAATTATATTTTTTTGATATATTACCTCTTTTGATCGAAATTGTTGAGGAGCAGATAAATTGTACCCATCATTATTTCCAAGATGATTATAACTAACAATTGATACTGGTTTAATACCAGCTGAAACTAAAAAGTCTACAAGCACAGATTTTAATTTTGTTTGGCCAGATTTAAAATCATCACCACCAATAAATGTTTTATGTTTTTCTGCTAATTCTATTGCTCCTGGTACAAAAGTATTTTGAGGAGATCCATTAATATATGTACACTGAAACAGTAACAACAAACAATAACAAACAATAAGTAATATCAATATATATCATATAATATCAATATAATATCAATAAATTTTATTTACTATTATGAATAGTAATACTATTATATAGTAATACTATAGTAATACTATTTAGAATAATAATAATATCTTTCTTTTATAAAAACAATAAATTTTACTTACTCCTTCTAAAGCAGCTGCTACAGCAAAAACTGTACTGGGACTAACTTCTGAATGACTTTTTTTAATAGCATTTAATAAATTTTCTGCTGTATCATTTACACCTGGAATGATCTCAGAAAATCGTTCAGTGTTAGCAGTCCATAATATAATTACTTGGTCCAACTTATTTGAAGTTTTAAATTCTACAATGTCTTTTCTAATTTGTTCTAATTGTTCAAATTTTGTACCCAAAATAATATTATTTGCTCTTTTTTCCTGAAAGAATTTAACAATATAATATGAATTCTTTGTTAATATTTAATTGCTTTTTTCAAATATATTTTTAAATATATTCAATAATATATTAACTATTAATCAATAGTGAATATATCATTTATAAGAATAAAAAAAAATTTTAAGGAAAATTTAATTAAAAACATTATTTACCTGATTAGCAGCAATAAAATCTGCATAATATATGCTTTTTCTTGGTTTCATATGCATCATATGTTCTACTAATTGTTTTTGTAAATTAATATTTAAAACTTTTGCACGTTGCATAGCATCAGCTAAATTCATGTCTGAAATATCCCAACCATCAATTTGAATATCGTCTGGATTTACCATTGGAAGCATCCAAGACATGGGAACATATATATCTTCTTTATTTCCTTTGCCTAATCTGATAGTGGATGCTTGAATTAAAGAACCATACCTGAAATTTAGATAAAAGTTTTATATAAATAATTAAATTCAGGAAATTTTAAAATACATTATTATCAAATGATCATAATTACCAATTTGCTTTTTGAATGCCATTCTTTGTGTCCCATGTCAATTTAAGTTTGTTTGCTAATAATGCTGCAGTAATAGTGGTGCCATTATTTCCACCCCATCCTACTAACATTAATCCAAGTTTTGGAACTTTCAGTTGTGTTCTAATTAATAGCTTTGTTGATACAGGTGTCACCTATTACAATATATATATATATGTTTATATTCTGTAATTATATTATTTTCAAGTGTTTAAAGTAAATAATATTACGCGTAATAATTGTTAATATTTGTATCCAAGGTTTTTTATGCTACACAATGGTGTACAATACAGGAACCTTTATTTTTTTTCAAAAATTGAAAAATTCATTTCCAAAATTAAAATCATAGCGTTTGAGCAGCTGTTCATTTTTTTAATATATTTGTTCCTTTC